ACCAAGAGCCCCAGCGCCTCATACCAGTGCCAGGTCTGCCTCCTCAGACACCAACAGACACGTGCCTAGCCCATCTTCTTGGACACTGACAAATCAGAATCCCATACCTGTATCTGGTCGTGCCTCCTGGGACACTGACAGACCCAATGACTCACACCTGTGTCCAGCCTCTTTAAACACCGACAGATCCAGCGCCCCATGCTTGTGCCCAGGCACACTTCTTTGAACAATGAAAGATCCAGCATCTCCTACCTGGCCTTGGAGCCCACTCCTCAGATACTAGTAGACCCGGTGCCTCATACCTGAGCCTGGCCTTGCCCCTTCTGACAATGACAGATCCAGTGCCTCATACCTGTGCCTAGCCCTGTCTCCTGGGACAGTGACAGGCCCAGTGGCTCATACCTGGGACTTGACTGATCTTCAGCCTCAGTCTAGGACACGCCGGGCCCCAACATTCACACTGTGCCTTCTCATGCCACACTGCAGACTCCACTCTGTGTCATCAGAATCCTTAACACTACATTCACATATTCCTAACAACTATTTATAGAGCACCTACCATGTTCCTAGCATAGGCAATAGAAATAATCCATGGGGGAGGAAGGCATAAATAAAACAATGATGCCAATGAATGTGAAAATGAGGTACAAGTGCTTGGAAGAAAGGAAACACAGTACTGAAACCAATTATAAAAGGACTCTGACAGTGCTTGAGCCTGGAACTGGAGAATGAGCAAGTACAATCCAGGGAAGCACAGAGGGAGGTGAAGCATTCCAGCAGCCAGAACAGCATATGCAAAGGTCCTGTGGCAAGAGCAGCCTTTCTCAATAGGGAGAGAATTAAGTCCCACAGAAAATGCTTTGAGTGACTTAATTTCTCAATACTCTCAAGGTTGGTCCAAGGGTAGTACCCTTCTAGGTGCAAAGGAGAGATGCTAATTCATTACATCCAGTGGATGCCTCATTGGGGCATTAGAGTTTGATTCTCTTCTGAAACCCCATTGAGACAGACAGGGCAGGAAGAAGCACAGCACAATCTAGAAGATGAAGGAAGGAGTGAGAACTGGAGGGTACAAGCTGAGAGGCAAGGCTGGAGAACCAGTAAGTCTGTGGGTGAGGTGAGAGTGGAAGCAGGAATCCATGTAGGAGCCCCAGTGGTCATCCAAAAATGATGCTACGCTGGATGGGGGGATGCAGAGCACTGATTCAGGAGGTTCAATTAAACAGGATGAATTGGAAGAACGAGAGAGTCATGTGTGGCTGAGGGGGTTCTGGCTTGGGTAATGAGATGAGTGATGGGGTTCTCTACCAGCAAAGGGTCTAGGTTTGGGGGAACCTTACCTGACAGTCACAGTTCCACAGACCATACCACGCCTGATAAAGACTCTCAGGTCTCACCTAACAGACTGAGGAGCCAGCCAGCCCTCTGCCCCACAGATTCCAGGCTGCTGACCTTGACTGAGGTCAGGTTCTCAGACCTCACTTTTGTTGAGAGAGCCCAGCAAAGCCAGTGTCTGATTGAGCCTCCGAGACCTCAAGCAGCAGACACAAGTCTAGACCTCACCTTTACCTGCAGCGGGTCTCTCAGACCACACCTTAGAGATGCAGCTCCTCAGCCAGTTCCATGTTCTGTGCCTCACTTGCTCCAGAGCCTCAGATCTCACCTTATCTTATACCAGCTATAATCCAATCTTCTGTCCTCACTTGGCTAGTTCAGACCCTGCCGACCAGACCCCAGTGCAAGAGACCACACCTGGGACTGGTTACAGATCCTCAGTATTGTGGAGGGCAGCTTCTGCAACACTCTGAGCTCTGACCATCACACCTGACCAGGGTGCTAAGAATGAGCAGTGGACATGACTCAGGCTCGCCTACCTGCACCCAAGGGCTCCCCAGACCTCCCCAGGCTGACCCAGGTATGCATTCCTATGACGACTCTGGCTTTCTCTCCATTAAGAGTCCATGCTACCCACCTAACTATGCCTGATCCTACCACCGAGGGTCCCACCTGTGTCTGACCCACCTTCTCAGCCTTCATCAGCCACACCAATTACATATTTCTGGGCTAATCTTGCCCCACTCATTTCATCTAACAAGCCCAGGGATGCCAACTTGTAACTGAACTCAGGTGGCAAGAACCCACCCGAGATCACATCTATATACCTCTGCCCACGTGACCCTCGATCCACGGACTCCTAACAAAGCCAGGTCAACACAGCAGCGCTGGGTACGGAGGCAATGGCTTCACCTGGGAGGCTAGTGCTACTACCTGGGTCCTACTCCAGTACCTCACATGACAGGATTATACACCCATCAGAGGCAGGTTCCAGACAGCTCAACCAATGAACCACGCTTCACACACCTGTCTATGCCTAACCCTGACCCCTCACTTCTCAACCAACAGACCCAGGTCCACCTCCCCAACGCCAACTCAGGCTCCTCACACCTTCCAGAGAGATCTAGCTCTGTGGGTCTGATCTCAGCTCCCAGGCCTAACCTGAGAGGCCCAGGTTTAACATCTGTGTCTGACTTGGCTTTTCACGCCTTGCAAACAGATCCAACACTACCAATCTCTGTCTAACCTCGGCATCCAAACCTCACTAAGGAGTCTCAGACTTCATCAGACACAAACATCTCTACATATCTGTGCTCAGCAGACCTGTAATTAACCCACTATCCTCAGACCTAACATCTAGGACCTTGGTCAACACACCTGAGTCAGAACCATGCTCCAAGGACTTGACCTGCAAGACCAAGTGTACAGTTTGGCCGCGAAGTCCTTGCCTGAGAGACATATCCACCTACTCACGTCTAACTTGGGTTCCCCGGATCTGCTGAGCCCCACAGTGCTCCGCCTATCTGCAAAAAACCCCAGTGCCACAGGTCTGACCTGAGGCCGCTCTACCCACTCAGGCTTAACGTTCCTCAGGCCTCACTAAAAGACCAGGGTACACACTACTGCCTGAGGCCAACACCTGAAAGAGCCAACTCTACCACCTGTGTTCATCCTTAACCCTTAAGGCCTCTTCAAGACTACAATAGGCAGAAAGTCTTTGCCTAACTACCTTGGTCCTGGCTCCTCAGACCACACTGGTGGAGCAGCCCAACCTACCTGTATGTGACCTTGAGTCCTCACAGCACACCTGATGGGCCAACCCTACCTACCTGTGTGGCTTGACCATGGCTCTTCAGACATACCTAGTGCAGAGGTCTGCCACCTGCGCTTGATGCTTGCCTCTCAAACCGTATTACAGGACAAGCTCTGCCTACCTGTATATGAACCTGATCCTCAGACCAATCTGCCTACCTGCTCATGACCTTGGCTCCTCAGATCATACCTGCTGGCCCAGCTCTGCCGACCTGTTATGACTCTGGCTCCTCAGATCATACCTGTTTGACCAGCTCTGCCTACATCTCCATGACCTTGGCTCCTCAGACCATACCTACTGGACCAGCTCTGCCTACATGTCCATGACCTTGGCTTCTCAGATCATAGCTGCTGGACTAGTTTTCCCTACCTGTTCATCACCTTGGCTCCTCAGACCATACCTACTGGACCAGCTCTGCTTACCTATACATGACCCTGGTCCTCAGACCAATTCTACAGGACCAACCGCCTACCTGTACATGACCTTCATCTATAGACTACATACACTGGACCACCTCTGCTTACCTGTACGTGATCTTAGTTCCTCAGACCATACGTACTGGACCAGCTTTGCCTACGTGAATATGGTCCTGGTCCTCATATCATACCTAACAGATCAGTTCTGCCTACTTGCTCATGACCTTGGCTCCTCAGACCATACTTACTGAACTAGCTCTGCCTACCTGTATATGACTCTGGTCCTCAGACCACACTTACTAGACCAGCTCTGCTTACCTGTTCATGACCCTGGCTCCTCAGAGCATACCTGCTGGACCAGCTCTGCCTACCTGTACATGACCCTGGGTTCAGACCATACATACTAGACCAGCTATGCCTACCTGTATATAACCTTGGGTCCTCAGACCACACCTAATGGACCAGCTTTGCATACCTGTTCATGACCTTGGCTCCTCAGACCAATTCTACTGGACTAACCTACCTGTACATGACCCTCGTCTCTACACCATATACACTGAACCAGCTCTGCCTACCTGCTCATGACCTTGACTCCTCAGACCATGCTTATTGGACCAGCTCTGCCTACCTGTACATGACCTTGGCTCCTCAGACCATACCTGCTGGACTAGCTCTGTTGACCTACACATGACCCTGGTCCTCAGACCAATTCTACTGGACCAGCTCTGCCTACCTGCACATGACCCTCATCTACAGACTATAGACACTTGACCAGCTTTGCTTACCTGTCCGTGACCTTGGCTCCTCAGACCATACTTACTGGACCAGCTCTGCCTACCTGTACATGACTCTGGTCCTGAGACCATACCCACCAGACCAGCTCTGCCTACCTGTTCATGACCCTGGCTCCTCAAACCATAACTGGCAGACCAGCTCTGCCTACCTGTACGTGACCTTGGCTCCTCAGACCATATCTACTGAATGAACTCTGCCTACCTGCTAATGACCTTGACTCCTCAGACCATACCTACTAGACCAGCTCTGCCTACCTTTTCATGACCCTGGCTCCTTAGACCATACCTAGCACACCAGCTTTGCCTACCTGTAGATGATCTTGGCTTCTCAGACCATATCTACTGGACCAGCTCTGCCAACTTGTTCATGACCCTGGCTCCTCAGATCAATCCTACTGGACCAACTCTAACTACCTGTACATGACCCTCGTCTTCAGACCATATACACTGGACCAGCTCTGCCTACTTATTCATAACCCTGACTCCTTACACCATACCTACTAGACCAGCTCTGCTTACCTGTACTTGACCCTAGGTCTTCAGATCATATCTACTGGACCAGCTCTGCCTTACTGTACATGATCCTGCATCCTCACGCTGGACTTAGTGGACCAGTTCTACCTACCTGTCTCTGACCCTGGCTCCTCCAACCACACCTCATGGTCAAATCTATCTACCTGTACATGAGTCTGCATCCTTCCACTGTACACAGATGGCCAGTTCCGCCTACCTGTAAATGATCCTGCTTTTTACGTTATACTTTGCAGACCCTTTCTGCATACCTGTCTCTGACTCCTGCTCCTGCTCCTCCAACCATACCTGATGGGCCAGGTGAGCCTACCTGTACATGATCCTAGGTCCTCAGAGCATACTTACTGGGCCAGCTCTACATACCTGTCTCTGACCTGGACTCCTCCAACCATACTTGATGAGCCAGCTCCACCTACCTGTGTGTCTTAACCCTAGCTCCTCGGACCATATCCAGCAGACCCGTTCCTGTACATGACCTTGGCTCTTTACATTGTACCGAGCAAACCAGCTCTGCCTACCTGTGCTTGACTCTGGCTCCTCAGGCCAAGTGTGGCAGGCTAGTTCTACCTGTCTGTGCTTCTCCTGGTTTCTGAGGCTGTCCCTGGAAGGCTGGCTCTGCCTACCTTTTCCTCTTTCCAGCTGGTCACAGCTCATCTGAGACATTTGGTTCTTCTTACTTGAATTTGGCTGTGACTTTGAGATTTCACTAGGTAGATCCAGTTTTGTGAACTTGCCCTGATTCTGGCTCCACAGACCTCACCTAAAAAACTCAATTCCATACACCCGTGCCTGGCCACAACTCCTCAAACTTGCAAGACATCTTTACAAGAAAGGCAGAGATGCAGTTCTATCTATCTTGACCTCACCTGGTAGACCCAAGTCACTCACCTGTGCCCAGTCCCAGTTCCTGGGACCTCACCTTAAACACCTACCTCTAACCACCTATCTTCAAGTCATATCCCCAGAAATCACCTAAGAGATCCAGTTCTTTCTAGGTACGCCTAACCTTAGCTCCTCAGGCCTCACCTAACAGATCTTTACAGACGTTACCTGGAAAATGCAGTTCTGTCCACCTGTATTCGACCTTGGCTCCTCAGATTCAGAATAAAAACCAGGGTCTGACCTTAGCAGCTCAGACCTTATCTGTTTTAAGAACCAAAAGTACAAACCTGGATCTCACCTCAACTCCTCAAACCTCACCTGACAGACCCATTCTGCACACCTGAGACAGACTCAGAATTCACGAGCCTTCCAGATAGATGCAGTGCCCCCACTCTTTGCATGACCCTAGTTTTTCAGTCTCTTCCCAGGGAACCCAAGACCATGTCCCAGGACCACAGACCTGAGCATCACCAGAACTGCTAAGACATCACCTGAGGGCACAGTCCAGACCTAGATCTGACGGTGGATTCTGCGTCTCCACTTGTCACACTCAGCTCTGCCTATGCCTACCTTTGTCTCTAGTGTCCACTCCAGCCAACCCACCTCTGCCTAGATGTGCCTCATCTTGGCTCCTCAGGCCTCCCCTAAGACACCCAGTTATACATACTTTGTGTGATTCCAGCTCCTGACACCTCAGACAGATGTGACTCTACAGACCACCCCCGGCAGACCCCACTGTACAAACCTAACCTCAACAGGCTCTTCCCTCAGAACTGACAGATCCCTGGCTGCTTACCCCGGCCTGAGGGAAGCCTGGAGAGAGCCCACTGGTGCCACCCAGTAGCTGAGCGACTTGGGCCTCCAACACTTCTAGGGACACAGGTCTCTGGACCTTTGTCCAGACGGCACCTTACTGATACAGCTCCTCAGTCGGTTCCAACTGTGTCCTTTACCTGTCCCAACCCCCATCCTCACCTCTTATAACCAGATGCATTTCTACCCTTCCCTTATCTGGGCTCCTCCAACCCCACCCCAGCCAGACCCCAACAGTTCAGTAGAACACCCTGAGCGCTGCCCATCACACCCGGTCAGGATGCTGAGAACCTGGTGGCTGACCTGGCTCAGGGGACTTACCTCTGTTTGCCTGATCCTGAGTATTAGTCACTCCCCTTGAGTGATCAGCCACCACTCCCTGATGCTCACTTTTCAGAACCAGAGAGACCCCCCGTATACATCTTAAACCTGCATTCAGAGATACAGGTTTAAGTACCTGTACTTGACTTTGGCTCCTCAGACTCCACTCGATAGAACCATCTCTAAATATCTGAATTCCTCCAGAACTCACAGACCCCACCCATAACTTTACCTGACCTGGTGCCTCCCCAGAACTCACCTATATTTGTCCTGTCTCCTCCTCAGAGCTCACCAGCCAAAATTAGCTCACCAATGTGCGTTGACTCTGGCAGAGCCCTGCGAGACCCCACAAATTACCACCATACCTCTGTCTGATCCTGAGACACGAGGCTGCTCCGTGTCCGACCCTAGCTGACCAGGCCTTACCACTTATACTTACCTATGTCAGACTGGACCCTTCCAGTCTTCCCTTAGAGCCAGAGCACTAGCCCTATGTCTATCCTGACTCCTCTATCTCACCTGAGAGACCCTAAATCAGAAATTTAACCTGTTCCTGTCCCTGGCTCCTTAGATGTCACCTTCTAAATATTTGCCCTTAGTGATCCAGGCAGGTCCCTCCTCCCGCCATCGTGGCCTCCACTGTGCCCACCCTGGCCACTCTGGCCTCACTAGCCAGGCCCAGCCCCATGTTCCTGTGCCCAACTGTCATCCCTAGGCCTTACCTGGGAGACCCAGGTCTGTCCCTCAGCCACTCCCAAACTCATCTCTGCAGGTTGGGTGGTTGCAGGTAATGAAAACTCACACTAGAACACAGCCCTGCTCTGCTGGGCTCCTTGCCTAGCCGGAGCGCCCACATGTCCCTGACCACCACCTGTTCGGGCTCCAGATCCCAGGGAGGAGGCGGAAAGTGCCTCCCTTCTTTATCAGGCATGCAACATCTGCTAGAAGCTGCACAGTTTCTCTCGACCAGGGTTCCTCATCTGAGCCACAGGACGCAGAAAAGGATTTGAGTGACTCTTCTCAATTCTTCCAAGGATGGTACATTAACTAGTCCCATTCTAGAAAGAAGTTAACTCATTACACACAATAGATGCCTTAGGATGTTAGGGCTTCATTCTCTCCGAGACTCCAAGGCCTTTAGAACTTTCGAAGGAGGTGACATTTTCAGATGTTTCCACCAAAGCGCTTCCAGTATAAAGGCCTGGAAACAGCCCCAATGGAAAAATTCCCAATTGGACGATGGTCTGTTAAGTACACCTGCCCAGGTCACGTGTTAGAGCCACACCCACTGCATTCACAGCCCCGATGCCACACCCTGCACTGCATCTCTGCACCCCAACCCTTCCCTGCCTGCCTCGGCCAGAGCCCTTCTCACACCACGGCCACACTCAGGCAAGCTGCAAGGAAAGCTCCCACTCGTGGCTTGGCAGCAGCCGTGGCTCTAGCAGGGATGAGTCCACGTGGCCACCTGCCACTAGAATAGCCTGCAGTGCTGCCACTTGGGCAAAGCGCTCTCTGCAAGCTGCCGGCACGGCCCCGCCCTGGCCCCTCCCCTCTGTCACCCTCCAGCTGCTCCTGCAGCTCCTTTCCAGGCCTGCCCAGTCACACCTCCTGCCTCCCTCTGCCCCTTGACCTTTACAGACTGTGGCTGCAGTGCAGAGAAAGGTCATTACTGAGAATAACTCACAACCTCAGCTTAGCGAGGGGGACAGGGGTGGCTCCAGTTACCCCACAGTGGGTGATGCCGGCAGGCACCCAAGGGAGTCTCATCGTGGCTTGGCAAGCTCGGCCCGCCCTCGGTGGGAGTGGAGCCCTCATCCTGACTGAGCTGTTCTGCCCCCACAAGCCTCTCTGAGGGCCTCCCGAAGCCAGGCATGCAGCAGGTGCTCAATAAACGTTGACCTCATGGGCCCCTCATCTGCGGCTCAACTTGGCAAAGGACAGAGTTCAGCCAGCACAAGGCAGTGCCTTTACTTACATCCCAGAACTCGAACATGTTTTGAGGGTCAATTCCAAACTCCTTCACTTTGGCCTAAAAAGGGCAATGGGAGAGAGAAAGAAGGAAGACTGGGTTAGCTGCGCAAGAACAGGGGCTCCATGGTGTGAAGAGTTGTGCTGCCTGAGCTGTGGGAGCACCTCCACCTTCCACAGAGCTAGGGGCTGGGCTGGAGCTGCCAGTGAGTCCGGGGTGGGAACAGGAGCCACCCACCCCCAGAGCTGGACACCAGGCTAGCTTGCATCCCACACACCAGTAGCCTGGCACCTGTGACCCCCTTCTGCTGAGGTGGACTGCACACCCAGCGTGAGGGCCGGCCTGCACACTGCTCTGCAAGAGCAACTTCCTGGGCTCGACCCCCTAGGATGTCTGGGAAACAGCCTAGAGCTGGAACCCGAGCACAGGCTGGGGCCACCTCCCAGGCCAGGCACCACACAGCCTGGACACCTGCCCAGCCCTGCCAATATGGGGGATGGTGACTCCACCCTGGGAAGCCTTCAGGGGATGACTGGCCCTATTCTTCAGGTGTTGTACTCCCTGGGCAGACAGGGTTAGCAACCCCTTCCCTAGACCCCACAGGAGACGCACTGGTGACCAGTCTGAGCTCTACCTGCAGGAGGCAGCCAGGGGTGCTGTGGCTGGAATGCCTTAAGACGTCCTCCCGTCTCCCCCAATAGGCAGGGCAGCACTGGAGGCAATGGCTGGGGGTGGAGGGTGGCACGGAAGGGGTGGGAGTCAGGAAGACTGGGGTGTAGGTCCAGTTCACACAGCCCAGCATGAAGCCCACCACACAGCAAGCACTCAGCAAGGTCCGCCTTGGTTGTTGACTCCTGGACACAGCCCCATGCTGCCCCGCTGACCCACTCCGCCCCACCCTGTACAACCTGGAGCCAGGAGGAACTGGCAGGCAGGTAACCACATTCTAATCCTGGGTTCTAATTCTGTCATCCCTAACTCATGCCATCACTGGGCAAAAAGTCACATCCTTTCACTGTGGTTTAACAGCCTGCCAGAAATGGAATGCACCCCCTACCCCTACCCAGCATATCCCATTTAGGGAGAGGCCAAGGGCGGTTCCCTGTGTGGAGCATTCTAGCGATCAGCCAGGTGGGGTTAACGTGATCCCACAGTCTGCAAGCCCCTTACTGGAGCAGCAGAGCTTTGTCTGCCTTGCAGAAAGGCTTACAGCTCACATCCTTCACTAACAGCTAGCCCTTCTACCTCATCAGCCGAGCCAAGGTCCCTGAACCTGTGAAGCACACCTCAGCTCTGTATTATGAAAAGCCGTGACCAGACCTGGCCTGTCACCCCAGGGAGGTAGCATGGGAACCCCCACGGGCACTTACAGTGTTGGTAGACAGGGCAACAAAGTGCTTCGCGACTGCCGAAGGCTGCAAGAGATGAACCAAGTCACACCCACACCCAACACACGGGGCCCCCGGGGCAGGGACCCTCCCGTCTCTGGAGAAGCCAAGGCCGTGGGTGGGACCCACTGCTCCCAGTCCTTGGTTCTGAGGCTGCTGGAGGAGCCTCACAGACAGGTGGAGAGGACTGAGGGGTGAGAGGCCAGCTGGTCCATCCTACCTCACAGGCACACAAGGCCCAGGGTGTCTCCCCGTAAAGCTGGTGTGGCCAGGGGTAGAGAGGCTCCTGCAGGGCCAGGGGGCTTAAGGAAAGGGCCCTCACAGTTAGAGCAAGTTCTGCCACGTTTGGCCTGTCCAGGCTAGCAAAGCCAAATATCCTAACCAGGCACCAACTTCTGCCCCCTGCTGCCAACTTCAGTTGAAACAAGGCTATAGGGAACGACGTGGGCAGACCCACTCTGTCCTTCCCGGCCCCCACACTGCCCACCGCCCACCCAGAACTCACATCCTTGGCCGACATGAGAAACCACTCCTTTGCCGTCTCTGCGTTGGTGATGGTCTCCTGGGTGGTGAAGGTCTGCAGGCACAGAGTACAGCAGTTGGTCCCCAGCCAAGCTCAGTGCAGCCTTGAGCTAGAGCTTGGCAGCAAGGCCACGTGGGTGACCAGTTATCACACGGAACAGTGCGTGCAGGTCAGTGAGTTATTCTACATCACCTCCACCCACGTGTCCACAAAGCCACAATCGGCGGCTGTGCCTGGGGCAGGGGCCTGGAAGTAGCAGCGTCATCCTGTGACTCCAGGACTTCACAACCAGAGGCAGAGGAACAGCAGTAAAAGCCACAACCCCCACCTGCCCCCCAACCTCCATCACAGATCAAAGGCCAGAGTATCTTCCAGGAGAGGGGCTGCAGCCACATCTGGGGCTCCCTTCAGCCCAGACTGGGCTGTATCTCAGAATTCAAATGGAATTCTTAATATCTGATGTGTGTGGATATGTGTAAATAGGACATAAATGACAACAAATAAAATGCTTACATTATCTGGACATGGCTCTGGGATCAGAAAGGAGCAGACATTAGGGATAGATTTCTGAGAAAGATGGGAAGACCCCCAGGCTGAGCACAGATCCACCAAGTGGGCAGGTGTGGCCTTAAGATGAAGGCTTATATGGACCAGCTGGGGCTTTCATCAGGTAAACTGTTTTGCCACCAGATGAGAACAGTCTGAGGGCAGCTGTGCCAACCTGATCCACAAAGCCTTGCTCACTCAGAGCAGTCAGGAGGGTCCAGTACCCAGGACAGCGGCAAAATCTCCATGTACTCAATCCCCGCCCCGACCTCAACACACAGAGGGCTGGGAGCCAGGCCAGGTCTGAGGCCCGTACCTTGGAGGCAATGATGAACAAGGAGGTCTCGGGGTTCAGGGTGGCCAGCGTTTTGGCAATGTGGGTCCCATCAATGTTGGAGACAAACCAGACCCGGGGACCTTGCGAAGAGTACGGCTTGAGGGCTTCAGTCACCATGAGGGGTCCCTGTGGGGAGACGCAGCATCAGAAAACAAGATTCCAGGGCCCACAAGAGGTGCCAGGTGGGATAGCCAGGTCCCATCGCTGGAAAAACCAAGGCCCTGGATGGGACCCCACACCCCACCCCAAGGCAGCCCTCTCCTTACCAGGTCAGAGCCGCCGATGCCGATGTTGATGACGTCAGTGATGGACTTGCCCGAGTACCCCTTCCATTCACCACTCCGGACACGCTGGCACAGAAAGGGGAGATGCAATCAGCCCCAACCCCTGAGTATAAACTGCTGCTCAAAAACATCATTACTTCTGCGTCCTTCTGCCTCAGGCCCAACTTTCAGGCCCTCTCAGGGGCCTATTGAGACCACGGTGTCAGATCCCTGCCATACTCAGCCCCAGCTAGATCCTTTCCCATCATTAGCAAAGTGGGGTGACATCCTCAACTCCCAGCAACATTGTCAGAATTTGCAAAACAGGAGTGAACTTTCAAGGCATGAGGGAAATAGCTTAGTGGTAAAGCACATGCTCAGCATGCATAAGGTCCTGGGTTCAATCCCTAGTACTTTCATTAAAAAAAAAAGAAAGAAAGAAAGTGAACTTTCAGCAAAACTTAACATGACAGAGACCAAGAGATGTGAAACGCCAAGTACTGTGACTGGTCTGTGCCAGGGACAGGAATGACAGACAGGCAGCCAACCTCCACATGGACTCCCGTGATTCTTGCCTCCTGCTATTCACACCCCAGTGGAGCCCCCCCGTGCTGTACAGGGCTGACCTGTGCACCCATTCGGATACTGTGAAAATGATGGAGTGTGACTTCAGAAGCTGGGTATCAAAGACCGTGCGTGCAGCTTCTGCTTTGCTCTCCTGGCTCGCTCACTTTTGCGGAAGCCACCTACTATGTTGTAAGGACACTTATTTGTATGAGAAGCCAACGAGGTGTGGAATGGAGGACTTCTTCCAACAGCCATGCCAACTCGCCACCCACGAATAGGAACTGCCTTGGAAGAGACGCCTCCAGAACCCGTCAAACCTTCAGGTAACTAAAGCCCTGGCCAACATCTTGAGAGATCCCCTCCACCCCCAAACCAAAACCAAGCAGTTAAACCACTTCTGAATTTCTGACCCACAGAAATTGTGCAAGATAGTAAATGCTTACTGCTATTTTAAGCCAAGTTTTGGTGCAATTTGTTATAAAATAATAAATAACTAATGTAGATTTTGGTACCAGAAGGGTATTACTGTAACAAAAACTTTAAAATGTGGACAAAAGCTAAAAGGACCTTGAGGAGAGGGTTAGTGAAAGCCTGAAATACAGTAGAAGAGATTGTTGGCAGAAGCTCGATAGTCCTTAAGGGGCCTGCTGGTGTGGATTTTTTTAAAAAAGGGAGGAAAACATTATTGCAAATTGGAGCAAAGAGAATCCTTGTTGTGCAAGGACAGAAAGTTTAACTGCTGTCGTCTGCATTAATACAGAGAGTAAAAGATGTATCTATTATGATCTAGATGATTTAGTTACAGAGATTTTCAGTCTGTGTTATGGGAACTGCCTGGCTTCTTGGTGCTTACAACAAAATGTGAGAGGAGAGAAATAAGCTGAATAAAGAACTATGGAACAAAAAGAAGCCAGGAATTGTTGGGTTTGAAAATTCCCAGCCTCTCTAGGAAACAAGTGATGCTAATAAGAGATGGTTCCTTGGCAAGGTTCAAATCCAGGGCACTGTGACAAAAAGCATAATATAAAAATGAAGCAGACAGTACAGTTGTAAAACCCTTTGTTAAGACCTCAGAAAGAGCTAAGGTGGTAACACAGAGAACGTTTTGGCCAAAGATATGGCTTCTAAAAAAGCTTAAGGGTATTGTCTCTGTGGTTTCAGAAGTAATGGTAGAAAAGGATTTATCTTAAAGAAATGTATGGGTATGGCTCTTGTCTAATGGAGTGAACCCTCTACCCCACCCCTGTAAGCTTCACAGGAGACCCACAAAGTTTTTGAGATAACTGAATTGTCAGAAACACAACCAGATTGGACTGAAAGGGACAGACATAGTACAAAAGGAAAAGAGACTGTTAAAAACTCACATTTCTACAGGCAGTAAGCAGACTGAAAAAACTATGCAGTTACAAACATGATTATCTTTCATGTGAAAAGGATGAATAAGGGCAAAGCCAAAAGCCTTGAGAATGATTCCTAGGCCTTGAGTTCTAACCAAGCAACTGCCCACATGTGTCCTGTTGGATTTCAGAATTGCTTCAGACCAATGACTCCTGTGTGCCTCCCATTTCCCCCACTTTTAGAAAAGGAATTATATCAGTTATCCTATGCCTGTTTCACCACTGTATGTTGGGAGTGTGAGGGGTAAATAACTTGTCTACTTGATTCACATACTGTCAGATCAAAAGGAACTGCATTTGAATTGTATTAAAGAAAGTACAGATATTATTATATCTGTACCTAATTTAGATTATGAGGTTCTTGACTTCTAGCTGCTATTGTAATGGGATATGGCCCTAAAAGAAGGTGACTGGGGTATTTTGCATGTGGAAGGAACGTGATGAATCACTGGGAGCCAGAAGGTAAGACTATGATAACCACCTTCCAGGATGGTTCCCAATGATCCTCACCTCCTGGCACTGCATTCACGTCCTTGGGTAGTTCCTTCCCACTCTGATCAGAGTTGACCTGTACAAGCAACAGGGAATTATAGAAATGAAAGAGTAACTTCTGATGCTAGCTCAAGGTAATAAAAGACCTCTGCCTTGCTGTCTCTTGGATCAATCACTTGGGGAGAAATCGGCCACCTTGTCATGAAGATGCTGTTTGAGAGCGGGAGAGGTCTGCAGGGTGAGGAACTAAAGCCTCCCGAAGCCAGCACTAATTGCTAGCAAGCCATCTTGGAAGGAGATCCTCCAGCCCCATCAAGCCTTCAGATGATGGTAACCTCGGGCCAGCATCTTGACTACAACCTCATGAGACCTGAGCAAGAACCAGTCAACAGAAACGTTGACTGTTATTTTCAGCTGCTGAATTTTGGAATAATTTGTTACATGTCAATAGAAAACTAGTATACATGGCTTTCCCAAAACCAATTAAGACCCAGTAACTTTATTTTGTTTAAATAATAATCAACTGCCATGAGCAATTTTACACCAATACAGAAAGAAAAGAAATTGCTCAGCTTCTCAACCCTCAGTCTTACCATCAGTTTTGTTAGAAAGCATCCTGGAGGGGAAATTCTGTTTATCTTACTATAACCACACACATCCTTTATTTGACCAGATGGGGTCTTTTGACACACACCAGTTCTGTAACTTCCTTTTTCAACTTCATAGTATATCCTGAACAGCACAGCAGGTCAATGCACCTGTAGCTCCCTAATTCCCAATGGTGCCTGAACTGCAGTGCATGAACATACACTGATTTTACTGACCAGTCCTCTGATAAGTGAGCTCAGGCTGTTTTTGGTTTTTGCCACTACAATCAAGGTCACAGTGAACATCCTCATCCAATCTTGGTGAACTTTTGAGAGCACAGTCGTGGGGAGTGTTCCTCACTATGGAATTGCTGCTATTCAGCAGCTTTTCTGAACTATAAATACCCCATCAGTCTGAGTCAGGTACTCCAGCCGTCAGCTGTAAGGGAGGGCTTTCCTGGGAACAGCTTCCCAGTCAGCCAGTGCCACACACTCTCCACACGGCATGCTTGGGCACACAAGGGCTGATCAAACAGAGCACCGGGCTTCCGAGGCACATCAGCTCTGCCACTCATAGCAGATGGCCAGAAATGTCCTTCCCTACACCCAAAGCCCATCCCAGGTACCAACCACTGCTAAGGGACATTCTGGAATCCAGATACCCATCAGGATCCCAAGCCTTCCTCACCCTGGGAAGTCCCACTCACTTGGCTGCCAAGCCTCTAGGACTGATACCCAGATCGCCTCTTGCTGTTTCAGATCTGAAGATGGCTCTTGGCCAAAGTAACTGGACTCTGGCCAGCTACACGTGGGGGTCACTACTCCCAGGGACAAGCTGACCAGAGCCTAGATTAACACTTGCAGAACACACATAACCCATACATATGTCTATGTATGCACACATCCATGCAGACAGTCCAGCCCACACACATCACCCTTGCACTCCAGGCTTGAACACATTTACCAACTCTTGCAGAATTACCCCAACAACAGTGGGGTTGTTGGGGCAACAGTGCTCGATGTGGGGAAATCTAGCTGGTCTCTAAGGCAACCTCTCCGAGGAAAAGGAGGCACAGTTATGTGCACTAAAACTGATACAGGGACAGCTCTTACATATTTATAAGTACAAACTGCAGAAGAGCAGGTAAAAATGATCCCGTGTGTGCATGTGTGTGTAGGTGTTTCAAAGAAGAGAAGACAGATATATGCACGTGCTAGTACTCGCATGGAAAGCTTTTGCAAGATTCACAGTAAACATTATAAAAGCTGCCTCTGGAGAGTGGCTGGGGTGTGGTCAAGAAAACTTTAAGTTTTAAATTTTGTCTAGTTCTAGACTAGGAAATAGGGCAAATGACTAAAGAGGTTAAAAAAAGCAAGTCCCTCCCCCACTATCGCATCCCCTCAGGGGCCTCATTTTTCTTTTCAGATCTCATCCCGGCCAGACTGCCACCATGGGCCCACAGGTGTGACAGTTCAGGAAGGAGGCTGCCCCACCACTGGCAGTGGTGGGTTCATTCCCTCACAACAGGGTCAGGGAAATTTGTGCCTCAGCAGACCCCCCGCAGCCAGCAATCACACAGACTGCCTCCACCTCAGGCTGCAGCGAGGGCTTGAGTCCTCTCTAAGGAGAGGGAGGGGAAGCCTATTGAGGCCCCTAGGTTGCCAAACACATGCACGCCCACGGCCAAGGGGAAGTCCAGCCAGCAGCTGCATACCTGGCAGAAAGATTTCATCTTCTCCAGGACCCTGTTGACCTCTGGCATCACATCCTTGCCATCCACCAGGATGGGTGTGTTTGATCGGTTCCGCAGGGCCACGTGCAGCACCGCCCGATTCTGGGGGTGAGAGTCAGCGTGTGAAGGCCCCCACCCCAGGGCAGCCGCTCTCCCAGCTGGGCATGGTGCAGCGTGCCCCAAGAGTCCACTCAGCCCTTTATCCTCTGGACACGCAGGTCCTAAGTTCTCTGTTGGTACCACGGTCTCATACTGAGAACCCACTGTGTGCTTATGGAAGCCGGGGCCACCCCAGGATCTCGGGGGAGGGCAAGGCATGGGCCACTCCCTTATGTGCTGCAGACAGTCGCAAAGGGAGGGAGACTGGAACATGCCTAGGACAGGCCCTGAGGACCCACAGATGTTCAAGGCGTGAAAAGTCAAGGAAGGCTGAACAGAGTGAGCAAAAGCTCTGACACAGGTCAGAGACAAGCAACAAATGGCTACAGAGGACCAAAGCTCATGAAGCCCAGTCTCATCTTCCTGAAGAAAATGCATGGTGTCTGGTCACACCTTTTTGAAAGGTGTCCCCAGCCCCTTGGAAATGGGGCAAAGCAGGCAACTCAAGCTTCCTTTACCAAGAGCCCTACCACATCCACCACTGGAAACAAACCAGACCCTAAGTCTGTGATTAGCGCCAGGCTTCTGGCCTTGTCATGCAGAAGCAACAGTTCCATCAAGCTGAGACAGCAGAGAAGCCCTTGAAAGAATCAGGTCTAAGACTCCAGGTGGGCAGGAAAGGGATGGTCTCAGGACTCTAACCCAGGGTGAGGCTGTGAGGTAGAGGGCTTCATGCCACACTGCCCTCACCCTGCCCAAGTTCACTCTTGTGCTACATTCCAGAGGCAAATGCACTCCTCCAAGAAGCCCTCCTTGATTGCAGCCTCCCTTCCTCAGCCTTGCCTAACAGTGGAAGACAGGGTGAGTTTGAATTCTAGCTCTGTCTCTTACAGAATGACATTGGAGAAGTGACTTGACCCCTGAGTCTCAGGTTCCTCATGTGTAAAAGGAGAATAATGACATCACGAAGATGACACCTTGAGTGCTCAGGGATCCTTATGCCTCCAGGCTTCCACAGAAATTCAGGAACAGGGCCGCCAAGGCCTGGCATTACGACAGCTTCCTGTTGATCTTTTGACCTGAGTCTTCTTTTCACTAGTAAAACTTGCAGCAAGTTTTAGTTCTCTGAGTATGTTTTGAGAAGCCCTCTCCCTGCAGGCCTAAGCTGTGCTGTCCCCAGGCAGATACCAGTAGCCATTTCACGCTCACCAGATCTAGACTGCAGTCTTGGAGGAGACACACCTCAAGACCCTGCAACTCATCTGAAGAAACAGACCTTCAGGCCCCACATTAAGCAAAAGCATTGCCTAAGAGGAGGGATGTAGACACAGGGTGATGCTGCTAACAGATGAACCCCAAAGAAAGGAAGAGTCTATGGAGCAAATGTAGTGTCTGTCCACTGGCCCGCTTACCTCTGTGAAGTTAATCTTCTCGCCATTGAACATGCGTTCCCGGGCAGCCTCCACACCCCTGGACTTGGCCTGAGAAGAGAAAACACTGAGGCCTGATCCCACCCATGCTGGCCACCAAGAGTCCAAGCTCCCAAGTACAAGGCTTGGTGCAGCCCCCAGTGGGGCTGACAGATGGCTAGAGCCTGGCGCCTTCCCCCACTGCCTGGGCAGGGTCTGCTGGGACACCAGGCACTGGTTCCCTGGGATGCTGTTCAGAACCCGGGGCAGGGGCACAGAGGCAGTTACTGAGGTCCACTAAGAGAAGGATGCAAAGATGCCCAAGGACCCAGGGGCTCCAGAAGCCCAGCCTGCCTGCCACACTGTGGGTCACAGGTCACGCCCCCCGAGGCAGAACATTACCAGGTCCACCAGCATCTGCATCACAGCCTCCGTCACAAGGTTCTTGGAGTAATCCACCAGTATATGCCCATGGTTGGTGTTGAGATTCAAGCTGCAGAAAAATGGCAGAAGCTACTGACCACACCCCAGCCTGCTTCCTGATCAGAGATGCTTCCAAAACACATGCTCCCTGTGCCAAATCTAAACAAGCCTTAGCTGGCCAGAACAGTGGTGTCGTCTGTCAGTTGCCCGCCCACCAGGCTGACCTGCAGCAGCAGCAGCAGCAGCACGGTGCAATGGGCCATCCTCACAGAATGAGATGTAGACCCTGGGAGAGGAGCCTTTCCTCTGCTACAACTGAGCTTGGGGGATGGGAAGACAGAGCTGGATGCTCTGCCCCTGCCTAAGGCTAGGTAGTGATCATTCCCTCCCAAAGCTTCCAATTCTGCCACTCAACTTACTCAGTAAAGGACTCAGATGGCACGGTTGGCCATCAAGGACTTCCAGGCTGGAGCTGCAGACCTCCCCTCTCCAATACCTGCACCAGTGACCATTCCCGCCTCCCAAGATTTCCTTCTTTCCTGGTCATTCATGGGTCTCCGGACCTAGCCCCCTGGGCAGGAATCACGGTTCCACCTCTCCACCGCGGATCCCCGCAAATCTCCCGGGCCTGTCCCACCCTGACCGCACCCTGCAGACGGTCCCAAGCCCATTCTGGGCCAGGACTGAGTGGAAGGGGACAGCCCTTCCGTGCCTGCTGCGTCAGCCAGGGCCCCTGCTCACAACCGCGGAAGGAGGCTCTGCTCATACAGCAGGGACTGGTGGCTGGGGACAGGCGAGGAGAGAGATGTCCCCGTGGAGAGAAAGCGAAGGAGGGCCCCACTCCTCATGACTAAGCAGCAGGGGCCCCGAGAGCTCGGGCGAGCACCCGGAAACCTGCTTCAAGGAGGCGTCAAGGACGAAGCGCGGCCTCGGGCTGGGCCCGGATCCGTGGCCGGGGGACCCCGCGGGGACCGGAGCCCCGCCCTCCCAGCCCTGGCCCTGCACAGTGGGACCCCGCACGCCGCATTCCGGTCCCTCAGGTCCGCGCCCCGCATCTGGCCCCGCGCGCGCACCTGAAGTGGTTGAAGCGGTCCTTGTCCCCTTCGAAAAGGCGGCGCAAGTTGAGGCCAGACCCGTGCTCGTGGTACCACGCCTGCAGCTTCTTGAACTG